CACACACACACACACACACACACACACACAGAGAGAGAGAGAGAGAGAGAGAGAGAGAGAGAGAGAGAGGATAGGTGGTGGGGCAGGTAGCATTCACCAAGAGGGATGCACCAGTTTTGAGAAAGGGAAGTTCCTGCCTTTGGAACCACTTGCTTAACAGTCTCTCTTTCTCCACTCCACCAACCCAATCTGTAGCCCATCAGACTATTCCACAGTTTCTGCAAAACCTTCCTTTTCCCACCACAACACTGTCTGAACAGTGTGAATGCTTTTTTTGGGGGGGGAGGGAGACTAGGAAAAGAAACACAGATTGAAATCACACGTAAAAGAGATGTGCCTTGAAATGCTCTTGTCCAATGGGTTTGCTCTAGCTCAGAATGTTGCACCCATGCGGTTGGCATCATGGTGACATCCCTGCCCATCACAGATCACCGTCTGGCGACCTGCTGCCAGCAAAGACTTCTGAGTCCAGGCAGGAGACTATATCTGGCCAGGTTTTTCGCTCAGTCTGGCCAAATTGTCCTCCTCATTACAGCCCTGGTCCCATGTGGCTTTTGCACACGCAGCTCTCGTGATCCCCCGCGTTACCCTTTTTTGAGCTTTCAAAGGGGACCTTCACTTTGCTTTTTCACCCGCAAAAATGTTAGCTGGCTCCCACCCAGGAGGTAGAAAACACAATAGAAAGGTTCGCCCAGGTCATCTCATCTGCTCTACACTTATCCCCCAAAAGGCCTTCACTGTACCTAAAGCATTTCTACTGGATAGGGATGCCAGCCTCCAGGTGGGACCTGGGGAGCCCCTGGAATTACAACTCGCCTCCAGACTACAGAGATCAGTTCCCCTGGAGAAAATGGATGCTTTTGGAGAGCAGACTCTGTGGCACATTGTACCCCACAGAGGTCCCTGTCCTCCCATTGAGATCAGCGTCCTATCTGAATCGTGATGTTATTACTAGGCTGATTAGTTGTAATTTGAAATATTTTGAAATATCTTATATGTGTTCATAACAAAGATAAAATTATTATGTTGCAGATGCTTAAGACTTGTTGTCTAGCTTTTATGAAAATGAGAGCTTTGGCACCTCTATGTAAGTAAGCAATAAGATTATTGTATTGTCTCTTGTTTCTTGTGACTGGTGTTATACATATTCTAAAAATTGCATTTTTGTGTACTACAGAAAATTTCCTGAAGAAGATTCATTTTTTGAAACGTTGGTAAATAATCCGGAGACAACGTTGTACCTTGGTTTATATTCTATTAAGTTGTGTATCATATTGTAATGCTTCAGAGCACAATACATGTACAGCAATTCTTATAAGTCGTATGACTGTTGATTGCGGGTCAGACTAACACGACTGTTGACCTTATATTTATTTATCAACCATAGTCGTGTGTGTCCAGATTTTTTTGCACACAACCTCTGGGCTTTCCAGTTGGTTGCCATGGTGACTTCATTGCCTTGGCTGGCTTTTCTAGCCCAGACTCACTGAAGGCCTAACTGCATAATGTGTCAAGCAGACTGTGCTGAGAATTCCTGGGTGATTCCCAGACATGCGGGGACCTGATCGAGACTGGGAGTGTGGTACATTAGGATCCAGGTGTGCCGGAAGAGGGGCTTAAGCCTTCCCCACATGCCATTTCCCCAGCCTGGAGACCGTGCGGTTTGCCCTACTGGAGAAGCTTACGTGTAACTGTCAGCGAGCTGCCATCTTCTTGGGACAAGCCTCGTCCCTTTTCTCAACCCCTCCCCCCCCCTTCACTCATGTAGTTGTTATCCTTCTCATGTTGTGCTTCTGTAACTGCCAAGGTTCTCCAGCTGGTGCGAGGTGGTGTTGTGTCTTTATGCTCTGGCTTGTTTGGAAAGAAAAAGAGAGGGAGAGAGAGAGAGAGAGAGAGAGAGAGAGAGAGAGGATAGGTGGTGGGGCAGGTAGCATTCACCAAGAGGGATGCACCAGTTTTGAGAAAGGGAAGTTCCTGCCTTTGGAACCACTTGCTTAACAGTCTCTCTTTCTCCACTCCACCAACCCAATCTGTAGCCCATCAGACTATTCCACAGTTTCTGCAAAACCTTCCTTTTTCCACCATAACACTGTCTGAACAGTGTGAATGCTTTTTTTTGGGGGGGGGAGACTAGGAAAAGAAACACAGATTGAAATCACACGTAAAAGAGATGTGCCTTGAAATGCTCTTGTCCAATGGGTTTGCTCTGGCTCAGAATGTTGCACCCATGCGGTTGGCATCATGGTGACGTCCCTGCCCGTCACAGATCACCGTCTGGCGACCTGCTGAGTCCAGGCAGGAGACTTCTGAGTCCAGGCAGGAGACTAGATCTGGCCAGGTTTTTCGCTCAGTCTGGCCGAATTGTCCTCCTTATTACAGCCCTGGTCCCATGTGGCTTTTGCACATGCAGCTCTCGTGATCCCCCGCATTACCCTTTTTGAGCTTTCAAAGGGGACCTTCGCTTTGCTTTTTCACCCGCAAAAATGTCAGCTGGCTCCCACCCAGGAGGTAGAAAATACAATAGAAAGGTTCGCCCAGGTCATCTGCTCTACACTTATCCCCCAAAAGTACATCCAGTTAGGTTAAGTTACTCACCCTTGAAAAAAGCGTCTGTTCATAATAGCTTGGCTTTTGGATCTTCAGGTTTTGGGGATAGGTTGATATTTAGCAGTTATATTGATTAAGCTTTTTGCTTCAATGTGATAGGTGCCACCGCAGGCTTTGCTGTGGTTCTTCATGGATGCTGCAGATGGTCAACATGAACCTCATTGGTATTTGCTGCATCTCCACCTTAATACTTGAGCACCATGAAGGACTTGCCAAAAAGGGCTGATTGAGACATGTCTGTTTGTAACTGAGACATCATCTGGTAGTTTGCATGTATGGATGTGCCACCAAAGACAGAACTTGGCCATCATCTTGCATCATTTTAACCCCCAATGCATTTCAGCAGATTCTGCTCACATGTTCAGCCACAGTTTGATATTCTATTAAGTTGTGTATCATATTGTAATGCTTCAGAGCACAATACATGTACAGCAATTCTTATAAGTCGTATGACTGTTGATTGCGGGTCAGACTAACACGACTGTTGACCTTATATTTATTTATCAACCAACCCTATTTATATCCCATCTTTCTCCCCAAGGGGGACCCGAAGTGGATGACATCATTCTCCTCTACTCCATTTTATCCTCACAAAAACCACCCTGTAAGGTAGGTTAGGCTGAGAGTATGTGACTCTCACCCAGCAAGCTTCCGTGGCCCAGTGGGGATTCAAACCTCATTCTCCCAGGTCCAGACCTAATCTGACAGGCTAACCCCTGCTCTGCACTGGATCCTCAAGTTACCCAGCCTTTCTTTAACCCCGCCCCCAAAAGTCGGCGGCTCATTCTATTGCCCAACTCCTCTTATGTTTCTTTATGTAAAGTATTAAGAAGCGCACGCACACATCCCCATCCCCTATAAATCAATATCTGCAAAGTAGAATTCTTAAAAAAATTAAAGCAATAAAACATTGAGATAGAGGGATAAAAACAACAGCCAAGCAGAAAAAAGAATGCAATAAAACAATTCCAAGCAGCATGAGTTTCAGAAGATTGTAAAAGATTGAAATTTTTATTTTATTTATTTGTTTAAGAACATAAGAGAAGCCAATGTTGGATCAGGCCAATGGCCCATCCAGTCCGTCCAACACTCCATGTCACACAATGGCCAAAAATACCAGGTGCCATCATTTATATATAAATAATGTGTACATTATTTATATCTCGCCTTTCACCCCAACGGAGACCCGAAGCGGCTTACATCATTTTCCTTTCCTCCATTTTATCCTCACAACAACCCTGTAGGTTAGGCTGAGAGGGTGTGACCAGCACAAGTTCACCCAGTAAACTTCCATGGCACAAGTGAGGACCGAAACCTGGATTTCCCAGATTCTAGCCCGACACTTTAACCACTACACCACGCTGGCTTAATAACTCATATTGAACCAGGAAAAGCCTATGAAAAACCCTGGGATAAAAACAGGAGAATCTGATTAGCACATGAACTCAACCCCACCAGAAACAGGGAGGTTTATAAGGGCTTAGGACAGTAAAAAAACCTCTCACTAGGCATTTAAAACTCATAAAGTTGGCATCAGGTGAGTTTCCGTCAGGAGCCCCAGCACTTTGGCGCCACTCAGGGCCCTGGTACTCCCCCACCGAGGTGATGAAAATGGGGGCACCAAAGAGCAGAAACGCTGATGAAGATCTTAATTGGTGGGCAGGCCCATGCGGGATAAGGTGTTCCTTCAAGCCCCAGACCCTGAAGAGTTTGATAAACAGTAAGCAGTGCTTTGAACTGTGCCCGGAAAGATACTGGCAACCGGTGAAGATATTTTAGGACTGGCAAGATGTGATCTTTATAATTCATACCTTTCAGCAGCCTACTGGAAGCATTTTAAATGTCAAATAAATAAAATTCTGAACCTATTGAACCTTTCGTACAGTCATCAAAGGCCCATGAAAAACACGGTGCAGTTACCTGGAGAGTCATCAAAGGCAGTCCCATGAAAAACACGGTGCAGTTACCTGGATATAACTCGATGCATAGATGACTAGCCAAATCACCCTGCGCAAGGAAGGGCTGTGTCAGGCAAACCCACTTTGAAGCTAATTAAAGTCTGGATCAAAAAGCAACCCATACCTGCTAGGTAAGGGGGAGTGAAACCCTGTCTAGAAATGGCAGGCCTTATTTGGATTTATCTACCATAGAGGTTTTTTTGTAGTATTTATGGAGTCTTAGAGTTGGAAGGGGTCTTTTAGGCCATCTTGTCCAACCACCTGGGTATCAGAGGCTAGAGTGTCACCAAAATAGGATTGACCATTGTCTGCTAGAAGAACTCCAGTGTGGAAGAGCTCTTTGTTCC